ACAGGGAGTATTTGGGGTGGTGGGAGGGGCAGGGAATGTCCAGGACTTGGGGAGGCAGTGGTTCAAAATTATCTCCCATTTTAAAAAAGATTTTATGTATTTACTTTTGGAGAGAGGGAAAGGGAGGGAGAAAGAGAGGGAGAGAAACATTAATGGGTAGTTGCCTCTTGTGTACCCCCTGCTAGGAACTTGGCCTGCAACCCAGGCATGTTCCCTGACTGAGAATTGAACTGGTGACCCTTTGGTTCATAGGCTGGTGCTCATTCCACGGAGCCATGCCAGCCAGGGCCAAAATTATCTACCATTGTATCATACCAGGCCACCTGAAGGATGGTGGCAATGTCTTGAAAGACAGGCAAATATGGGAAAATTTATGTACTAAAGGATGAACACTCAGTCCTTTTTGGACCAAGAAATCCAGAAAAATCCCCTTTTAAATTGATCTGTGTTGTTTATAAAGAGCCTCATCGACAAGTACCACAGTTTGGCTGCCAAGCTCCGAGAACTGCTATAAACAAGTACATCAAAGTATATGACCAGCTCATGACCAGAACATTGCTAGTTCCAATTAGCAAAATAAATTTGCGATCAGAAGAATGTCTGGCATATCCACAAGGGCTCAACTATGAATATTGCCCTGGCAGTGAAATATTTCTCTTAGTTTTTAGACATGACATAAAAGTTTTCTTTGCTCTGAGGAGTTTTCTGAGAAGGCCCTTCATAGACTCTGCAGGTGCAACTCTAAAACAAGATGTCTCCGTCCCCCCTCAAAAAATTGCTAAGGTGAAAAATACACTCGTTTATGTTGTGGGTTTTACTTAAAATGCACAGTGTGGACATTCACGGGCAATGACTATTTTGTGCTCTTGCCCCAGGAAAGTGTTTCCAGTGGTCTAGGACAAGGAGTATGGCCCACAGAGTCCGAACTGGCCAGGCCCAAGAGCCATGAAGCTCAGATCTTGCTCCTTCTTCACAAACGCTGGCAGGCAGACTAACTTTGAAATCCCAAGCAGCTCATTCTCTTGGACCAATTCTGCCTGGAAAATGGATGCTCTCTTTACAGCTGGAAAAAAAATGTGCCACGGTGGGGAAACAGGCAACAATGCAAGGATAAGGATTCAAAATCCACAATTCTCAGAGGACCTAATGGGTTTTACTTTAAAGAGCAGAAGATTCTTAAAAGTTGGAAATGACAAGAGCACCGAAATTGCTCACAGTGAAAATTTTAAATGATTCTGTTCTCAAACACCCTCAATTGCACATCTTTGTAAAATGGCCATTTCCTTCAGCTAATACCTAGATACGAGGTCTTTGCACTGAAATATTCTCAAAACTCCAAATCTGATCTATTATTAGAGCTGTAGAAATAACATCATCCATGAATGTGGAAATGATACCGAACTCCAGATAAGGGGTGATAAATCAAAAGCCTCATGGAAAATAATGACTTTTTAAAATGTTTATGAACTCCTAGTCAGTGACGTCATGAGCAGATCTGTGCCTTAAAGCTCAGTACAAACCAGGAAAGCTTCCAGATTCTAAGTCAGGAAGGGGAACTGGAAACCCACAACCCCCAGTTCCAAGGAGCAAACCCCTTGGGCTAAGGTTCCTTCCGACCCTAGATTGCACTTCCCTTACTACTTTGCACCAAAGTTCCTTAACTTCTCTAAGCTTCAATTTCTTCAACTATAAATTAGGAAAAACAACAGTACCCAGACTCACAGAGCACATATAAAGAATGAAATGATGGAGGTAAAGCTTTCAGCCCAGTGCCTGATGCATAGCAAGTCGTCATTAAATAGTAGCTCTTACAAACAGTTAGGGTCAAATTAATTTTTGAATCCCAGCCAGCTCCATAAATGAGTGGCCTTGGGCTATTTATTTCATCTGAGCCTCGGTTATTTTATTACTAAACAATGTCATTTTCCTCACAAAGCTGTTGTGAAAATTTTATGAGTGAATGTGCTTAAAGCACCCAGAACAGTATTTGACCTCAGTACTTGACCTGTAAAAGTTACTGATAAAATGGCGCCTTCAGCACCCTCACCCCGCCTTGCCCCTTTAGGATTAGCTATTCAAAACGCCTTTTGCCGGCCAAGAGAACAGGACTGTGAACGGTCCAGGGCTGTGGTGACTTTCGCTCTGGGTTCGCCGCAGAACATGCTGTTTTTTTTGGCACCAGGAACACATGGAGTAGTGTTCAGGGTGTACAGTAGTGTATACATCGCCTGTGTATTTGCATAAAGTTTCAAAGCACTTTCTTGATATATGCAGTATGACAGCTGCTGTCACAATATATTTGTATAAGTTCTACGCAGATTTCATAAAATAAACTTGCAAATGTTTGTTTTCCTAAGGAGGGGCGTGAGCTGGTGCTGCCGGGTGAGTCACTCGTCTCGCTGTGGAAAGGGACGCAGGCTGGCCCGCCCCCTGGCTGCCTGGCCCCAGGGCCACAAACAGGCTGGCACTCCCCAGGAATGTGTGCGGCAACCCCACAGACAGAGTAGGTCACTGTCTCACCATTCCTTAAAATTAATTTTTCTGTAAAACACAGCATTGATGGGCAATGCCACCACCATCCATCTGAGGTCCAGAGGGAGGGGTGACTTGCAGCAGGCAGAATACAGGCAAACTGTCGCCACCCCAGCTGGCTGTCCGTCTTTGCATTCGAAGGAGTTCGCCAGATGTCAAAGACAATGACAGCTTCTTACGAACACGTGCCAGCATTCACCTGTCTCCTTGCAGAGGCCCTGGAAGAACTGTCTGGATTGGCCGAGTCTTCCCATCCAAACTGTCAAAGTTAATTCACATTCAACTACCTCCTATAGCATTTCCTAAACCAGTTCTCTTGGGAATCCTGTCTCCTCAGAGGGCAAAGGGGGTTCCCTGACACAAGGTGTCTACAAATAAATGAGCAATGTTGTGCTCAACCAAGTCACATAGGTTTCATTATTGCAGGATTTTGCTTATCTTTTAATGCACGTTAATCATATAGGATATGATGTTTCTCAAACTTATTTGACCACGGAACCCTTTTGTTACAGCACATAAATATATTCTGGTGTGATATAATGAACACAATTTGGAAAATGCTAGTCCACTTTCATTTATGACTGTACGTCTGTCCTAAGTATCTACAACTATAGGGTCCTTTGTCTTCGGCATAATTTATTGATGACAATTGTTGGTTAAACAAGTCCTTATATTGAGTAATCAATATCCCTTAATTGAGCAATCAGTTCTGTTCCCCAAATCCTCCCCCCACTGTCTGTAAATACTATACTACAAAATACGCTCTTCAAATGCATTTTTAGGATTATATTTTTATATGTTCCAAAAATCACTCTGACAGAGGTTTTTCATGTTTGTTTAAAGAATACTGTCAATTCAAGCTATCTTTGGATTCACATTCTTTTTTTTTTTTTTCAGGATTATCTTGATTTTTTTTTCAGACTATTTACATATTTTACTATAGGAAAAAAAAAAGAATTCTAAGCCTTTTTCCAGTTAGATGAACCAGGTCACCCTACCGATGCCTAGCATTTCTGGAATATTTCTAAATACCACAGTATGAAAACTCTACCTCCCACATCCCATGAAACAGATCTGGCTACAAATTCCCCAGGCTGATCTGTGGGATGTGGTTTCCCTGTATTTAAACGGGGTGTTTGGAGAATGTGCTGAGGGCTATTTCAGCCCTGTCTTTCTCTTGTCTTCCTTTGCCTCGCAAACATGCCCCTCCATTTTGGGCAGCCTCTTAAAAAATGATACATTGTACACAAATAGAATGGGTACAGGATCCTCAGAAGGCGGCAATGTCAGAAATGAAGATCCAAGAAAAAGGCTTATTTACTGCTGTAGCTCCCTTTGGGTGGGACCTCCTGGGACCACAAGCGAGGCTGTGACAGCCCAGGCTAAGTTAGGCCAAAGGAGCTGCATAAACAGAATAAAGAAAGACAGGAGCTTTGGGGACCAGGCAGGGGCGCCAGGCTGGGAGCAGCCCGAAGGACCAGTGCCCTTCCCCGTGCCCAGTGTTTTAAGAGACAGAGGTCGAAATAGCCCCTCTTTCCCTGATATTGTAATAAATATTAATGCCAACAAAATATCTCTTTTAAAAAGTGTGAGAGATTTGAAGCAGCTTCCCCATTAATCTGTTGTCATTTTTACTTATGACCTTCAAATTCATCAACATGCATATATAATTCTATATCTATAGTCAGGGACTGTGTCTTTTGTTCACCAGTGTATCCCCAGTGTCTAGCAATAAACAAGTACAGCTTTTGTTGATACAATGTAATGATAGACTGTAAGGCCATTGGGTAATCTACCTTCCCTACATGAAGTCCTAACAAGCAGTTTTCATGAGTTTCCACAATTCACATTTCATTGCCCGCATAACAGTCCGCCATGTTGACGATATTCTTTATGATGAACTCATAAACATTCCTCCAAATTCCACTTCTGTCTTAAGATAGGTTTCACACAGCAGCATTTGGGCTAGTCAGCACGCCCCCACGTCCCCAGCCAGCCAGCTGTCCATCGGTCCATAGAAAGGAGTTAGCCAGGTGTAACAGACAGTGACGGCTTGTCCCTAACTGCACACGGCTCCTCTCTTCCCCCTCAGGTGGTAGAGCCGGCAGTTCGTGCCCTCTCCCAGGGGACAATGTACATGTCAGGGGCCTTCAGGTGGGAGTCAGGAAAGACATTTCACAGACATTTCCGGATAAACACACAGGCACCAAGGGACAATGGAAATGCTAAGAAAATTGGGGAGAAAGTGGAAAATGACTTGCTTTATATTTAAACAAGATATGTGGTCCTCATTTTGGCCATATGAGGAAAACAGTTAAATCAGTCATTTTCAAACTCTTTGGTTCAGGAACACTGTACATTCTTAAAAATTATGAAACCTACCAAAGAAGTTTTTGTTTATATGGCTTATATCTATCTATTAATATTTATTGTATTAGAAATTAAAACTGATAAATTTTAAAAACTTGTCCATTGTAAAATAACAAAAATCAATTATGCTAACATAAGTAGCATATTTTTATGATAAATAACTATATAGTTTCCAATTAGCAATAATCGTGCCTTGGATAAACCTCATTGGCTACAATACTGCCACTGTGCAAAGCTATGTACTTTCCAAAAACAAACAAAGAATTAGTGAGAAAAGTGGCACTGTTCTACCTTTTTGCAAATCTCTTTAATGTCTGGCTTAATAGGAAATATGGGGTTTTCTTAATTGTTTCTTTCCACTTATTGCAATGTGTTGTTTTGGATGCAGTATGTAAAGAAAATCCAGCCTTACTTAGATATATAGTTAGAAAATAGAGGCAGATTTTAAGAGCCATTTCAGATAATTATGAATATTCTCCTTTGATACTATACCAAAGGTTGGTTACCATGTGGAATTCAAAACCATATCTTAAGCTTAGGTGGGCGTTTCTCCCGTGCATAATTCTTGCGTCGTTGTGGTCTGACCTTTGGGAAAACACTGATTTAAGCAAATCTTCCCAATGTTGTGTATTCCATTATCAAATATCAAAAAATTACATTAATATCACTTCTTATATCTTCAAAAAGTCTTTAATTCTCAGAAATCTGTCAAGCTCACAGTGGCAAACAGAAGTTTTCCAAAATCCTCATTTTCCCAGAAAAGCTCAGATTACATCACTGGCAACTTAGACTGCCATTCATTTTCTTTAAAGTGATGTGCTCACCTTCTTTCTTGATTTTTGAGAAGATGTCTACCAAATGCCCAAGTCGAAATAATTTGTCTGTCAGTCATTCTTTCAAGTAAAAATGAAATTCTGTGAAAAAAAGGGGTGGGTTCCGTTCACAATTCAAAGAAACTCCTAAGTGTTTTTCCTTTAGACATCCACTGTATTTCAATATTCAGCAAGACTAATTTTTTGCATGCAAGAGTGAGCTTTAATAAAAACATCCTATAGTTTCATCAAGGACATTTTTAAGTAAAGCGGGTTTTTTCTCTGAGAGTACGCGGTTCGGACCAACACAATGGCCACTGCGGCGCCGTGGCTTTGGCCGCGTGGAGCCTCGCACGGGTACTCGCTATTGGTGCAAATGTGAACACAGCCCTGTAAAAGGCAAAGAACATCCTCACACGATGATAAAAGCAGTTTTGAACTCGTGAACGCTCTGAAACAGTCTCAAGGGCTTCTGGGGGTCCAGGCCTTCCCTTGGGGACCACTGACTCAAACACTGACTTTCACATTCTTGAGGCCTACCTCCTGTGAAGTCATCCTTACAACAGGAAAAACAAACCAGAGTAGAGCTGCACGTTTGGGTCACAGAAACGAACTCCACGGTCTCAGGGAAACACTGTACGTCGTCACTTAAACCGGCAAGTTCGCTTGGTGGGCTGCGATGCCGTGCGGGCTGCGGGGCGAAAAGGACCCTCACCACCACCCACGGAGCCCGCCGGGTCTGGGCCATCAAAGCCTGAAAACACCAGTTTTGTTCCAGCAAACCTGTCAAGAATCCCCATTAGTCATTTGCACCCATATATTCAGGTATTCAGTAGAAAAAAAAGACAGCCTTTGTGTCGGTAAGAAGTGAGGTATAAACCTAGAAGGCAAGACTGAGAAAGAGCAGATGCTTCTGTCTCCGGAGTTTGTATTTTTTCCTCTAAAAACATTATCTGTCATCAACTGCAGCTTAAAGGACCAACAAAGTACTTTTATAAATAAACGCAGTGGCCATTTTCATTTTAGGGACTCTGAGTTCTTAACGATCAATCTGATGCGATCGATGTGAAGGCTGTGCCGCTCCGGCTAACCCTCCTCTGATGCACTGTAGGCCGCCTGTCCTCACAAGACGCTCATTGTCTTGAGTAAACCAGGACTTACAATAATCGTGTCCGCTGTGCCGAAGTCAACAACCTGACATTTGTAGCTCCTTGCTTAAATTTTCATCTCAAGGAAGCTGAACAAGAAGTTTCCATAGCCTCCCTCATTTCAAAATTCAAGAGATCCTTGCATAAAGTTGCCCCTCGAAGAAGAAATTAATCCAAGGGAGAACCTGTGATTTATAAAACTGACAGTAATCAAAATGTCTCATTGTCTAACAGGGTCATCTTTTAATTGCCTGGTCCTGTCCCCCCGCCGCGGCCCCAAAGCTCTCCCCCTACACCCGCACTACCACCACAGTTCCCAGACCAGTCAGGGCAAAAGAAAATACGGGGCCAACCAGTCTCATGCCCTCCACCTTCCCAGCTCCCCGGAGGCACTTGATACTGGATCGCGTTTCTTATGAGGCTGGGCCAGGCGGTCAAATTCTAATGTTGAGCCCAAAGTAGGGAATCTGGAATTGTTCCTGAAACTTCAAGTGCTCTTGAGCCTTTATCCTGACCCCTCGGGGTTCTGGGCATGCTCTGCCTTCCCAGGCTCCCTGGAGCAGGATAAGTTAACTGATAAACCCTGATTCAGCTTCCAAGCAAGTGCAGAAGCCTAACAGGTAGGTCAGAAATACCCTGGCCGCTCTATCTCCACAGCTTTTCCTCTTAGGCACTAGCAGCACATGAACACACGCCAGGCTCCCCTACTCACCCCGAATCCATCCACAGACAAACATGCCTCGGACCTGGAAGGGATATTAGTCTCACCCTCCCTCTCACCCCGATTGACTCATGCTTCCAGGCTGGTCGTCTGCCTCAGCTTCCTTTATAACCATTGAACGTTTTCTCAGCCTGACGCCCGGGACCTAGAATCACCTCTGTCTCTGCCCCTGAGCCTCAGGCTGACGGGTAGAAGCGTCCTTCGTGTAGAAGCAGTTCCTAAAGAGGACACCACACTTGTCTCCCTTGATGTGTGAGCACCGTGCCCTCCTGACTCCTGGAAGTAGGTGCCACCCTCCTGGGATCCCTCTAGCTCATCTCAGCCCCTGAGCACTAACCGTGTGCCTGAAGCTGGGCGGTGGAGGTTTTATTACCCAATGCCCAGCCTTCTGCCTGGTTGCACCTTTGACTTTCATAGTCTCCCCTCTGCCTCCTCCCCTGCCAGCTGTCACATCTGGGAGCCTCTGTGCCACATAGACAAACACATATTTAGAAATCAAAGGACATTATAAAGCATTGATTAAAAGGTCAAATTAAAGCTTACGCTTCTGCTGGCAAACCATTTGGGGTGGGGGTGTCTGTGTTTGTTATGTTTCAGGTGAATAAACCACTTTCAATCCTATTTATGAACAGCAGTTACATAATTATATACAATTTGCATGAAGTCTATAGATTCATTTTACCTAGTCATTAAAGCAGGACTCCCGAATCATTGCTTGCAAATTGCTATGTCTTTACAACCTCCTCAATTCTGGAAATCCTGCTTCCCCAACACCTAGGCTCCAGTTTCTCCAAAATCATCCTTGGATGCCTGCATCAGAATCACTGGAGTCGTTTGTGCGAATGCAGGTTGCATAAAAGTGAGGCCTCCCTGCACCTGCTGTATGAGAATCTGAGTGCAGAGCCTGGGATCGCCATGGGTGCTCTCACATTCAAGGTTTGTATTCGTAGTAATAGTACTATTAGTATGTCGCATATCTGGAGAGTAGGCAGTAAAGAGAAGCACATGCAAAAGGGCTAAAATAATCATCAGCCATGATAGGAATTCTATAGGTAGTATTTAAAATCCATGAATCAACAATGAGCAGTACATGTGTTGTATGGAGAAAGACACCAGAAGAAATAACTGAAAGCATGGGAACTGGCCGCTTTGGGGAAAGAATACCAAGTGGGAGGAGCTCTTGATTTTGTTATTAACCTTCAGCACTATTTGACTTTTTCCTTAACCACATATTAATTTAATTACAAGTGAAAATACATTAAAAATAAAGGAACTACTCTATTACTCAGACTTCTAATCTATTCAGGTGAATGTTTCCATCATACTTCTATTCATCTATGGTTATAAAATGGCACAATTTGAAACGAACCCATAGGAATCAAGGATGACTGACTTTTCCATTTTGCTTTACTTTGACAGAAAACAAAATACAAACCAATATATTATTTTAACCCTTAGCTTGGCTGTCTACTCATTAAATAAATAAAAAAATTCCACAGAACCTTCTCTCTTGACAAAAGGTGCAAAAACACTATTAAATTCCTGCATGTGATCAAAAATGGATTCTAAACATAATTAACTTGGACCACTTCAAATTTCCTGTACAATAGCGACCTAATTCCTGGTAAAATGTAACACCATATAGCATAATTCAGTATTCTCTCGAAAGTCGTGTGATTTTGTGTAAAAGGGCCACCCAGGTTCCTTCGGGCCACCGCCCCCCTCTGTGGTTCTCTCCCGCAGTCTGAACTCACTTCACTCACTTCGCAGCCCGAGTTGGCTCAAAGCCCCTCTGATCACATAGCAACCTCTGTGACAGGGGACCGACTGCACTTCCCACGTGACATCCGAGGGGAAGCCCAGAAGGGTGATCAGTCACATCATTACCACAGACAACAACTGTATCTGAGACAGACTCGGGAGCAATGCTGGGACAAGGCAAGGGATGTTTGAGCACTTTGCCAACATGATAGCTCCTTTTCCGCCTCTTCCCTTGCCTTTCTTTTTCTTTTCTTTCTTTTCTTTTCTTTTTTTTTTTTTTTTTTTGGCAAATGTTAAAGGGATTGGTCCACCCAGTCATAACCTTGTTAAGTGAAGCCAGATCTCAATTACCCTTTGCAGGCTCTTTCTTCTTCCAGACTGAGCAGTAGAAAGCTGGCTATAACAAGGGTCCATTCTATGTCCTGCAAAGCTGTAAAAGGTTTTTGAATTAAATACTGAGCTGGAGTTTCCTGATTGAGAAAACTTTCAGAAAGGAGTTCAGATTGTCTCCAATGTTTTGAAGTCTCCACAGCCATAGGGAATTCTTGCGTTTGTCTCCCCTAAGAAGCCACAAGAATGGAGGAAGGAGGTTGCCTTAGCAGCTCTCCTCACTGTCAATTGCTCAAACCTAGCACAAGACAGCAGAAGGCAAAGTATGGGAAATGGTCCCTAGAACTTGGCCCTCATGGACGATGCCCAGTCAAAAGGAGACCAGAATAGTGAGTCCTACTGAAAGGGAAATTTTTCAGTGGCAAGTCTCTAATATTTTCAAAAATGAAAGCAGCTACCTGAGTC